CGGGTCAAAGGGAGGTAGGCAAGACCTAAGGGATGTGATCCAGACAAGGCGTCAGCGCTTTTGTCCGGATCAGAGTCATACTTGAGTATCTACTCATTTCCTTCCGGGGTCTTACATCTGCCCTTATCTTCCCTTTCTTAATTCCCCTATAACCACCATCTCTCCACCTGACCGAGGTTAAGTAGGAACTTCCCGCATTACAGTCTCCTAGACTGGACCTATGATGTTTGGTTGGTTCTATGGCTTCATAGTGACCACCTTACTGATGGTCCGAACTAGAGGCTTCCTCGGGTCGCTTCTTGAACGGAGCTCCTGTGTGGGAACCATGGTGGTGAGTACGATCCATTTCTAACATATATATATATATATATATATATAAGTATTTAATGCGCTGGTGGTTGTGTGTATAATCCATCTGCGAGCCTTCTTTGCAGTGTTTTTCCGGGACCTGTGTGTTTCTGTCCTTTTCTAGGGTAGGTCCTCGGTGAGCACCCCCCTCTGCTGGATTCAGAAACCGGGTGCTCGACTTGCAGTGTTTTCCTCACTCGTCGATGTTGTATCCAGCCGGTATGATAAATATATATATATATATATATATATATATATATATATGTGTGTGTGTGTATTTAATGCACTGGTGGTTGTGTGTATAATCCATCTGCAAGCTTTCTTTGCAGTGTTTTCCAGGACCTGTGTGTCTCTGTCCTTTTCTAGGGTAGGTCCTCGGTGAGCACCCCCCTCTGCTGGATTCAGAAACCGGGTGCTTGACTTGCAGTGTTTTCCTCACTCGTCGATCTTGTATCCAGCCGGCATGATAGCCCTGGTTTCGGCTTCATGCTTCCTGGATCATGCGGTCTGGTCACAGGCTGCTGTGGGAGCCTTCTTGATCATCAGGCACGGCACTGCAAAATTTCTTGGACGTCCGGGCTGGGCTTATGCTTTCAGGCTGCCCTGTCTGGTCTACCGTATCTAGGTCGCCTTGAGGGGCCTCCCGATCACCAGGATATCCTCTCTTGCTGAGGCATCAAGCGGGAAGTATAGGTGGCATTTGAGAGAACCTTCTTGTGTATGCTGTCTCAGGCAGTGCTCCCCTCGCCTTAGAGGGTCGTATTTGAGCTTGCCTCTCCCGTTTGGCCCAGTACCTCCGGGTATCTGTGATCAGATGCCTGGAAATTTAAATCCATGCTATGGCAAGTGCACACGCTAAGCTCTGTGCACTTTCTGAAACCCACATAGTGGTAAGTGCGCACGTTGAACACTTTGCGCACTTTCTAAAATCCACAGTAGTGGTAAGTGTGCACGCTGAGCACTTTGCGCACTTTCTAAAATCCACATAGTGGTAAGTGTGCACGCTAGACTCTGCGCACTTTCTGAAATTCTGTATGTTAAGGGTTACGCGTTATTTGCCTTGTTCCCTTTCTCTGAGTTGGCTTAGACCCCGGTACCTTGGGCTCCACTCAACCAGTGTGTCGAACTAGGCCCTTCCTCCACCTCTCTGATGCACTGAGTTTTTGGCTAGCTTGCAGTACGCTTACCGCACCGGTAGTGACGTCATGGGCTGTCGCCGGCCAACGTGTTGTTGGTGTTTTTTGAATGTATGCTTCAGACACGGATCACTACGAGGCGTTCCCCATAGCGACCCCTAGGGGACGCAGTGTCTCGTTCCCTACTCAGGGAACCATGGTTACAAACATAACCCGAGATGCTCTCTTCCGCTTTTTTGTGCATGGATGAATAAATACAGACAAAATTACATCAAAATGCACGTTTTGGCGAATATCCTAGTAAACACAGTCGGTTAGGCATATGTCTTAACGTAAACAGTTGAGAAAGAAAAGGCATGTGTATCAGTATATTAAATCCGTGCTTTCATTCTTAAAGTGAAAGCAAACTAATAATAAATCTAATGCTGTCAAAGAAAAATACAAGTGCTCACTGCTCCTGACTAAATAACCTTTGTAACATCAAAAATTATTAATCTATATTTAATTTATACAGTGAAGACTATGCAGTTATTTTACATTTGATTATTACATTTATGTAGCGTACTTGAAAATTTCTTTTAGACTGAGCTGAAAAACCTGAAAAGCACATAGTAGCAGCCAGAATTGTTTTTCCAATGGTTTATTTTCTTTATTATTTAAAAAAAAAAGAGTGTGGGCCTATTTTTTGTTGTGAATGTCCCAATTGAGGTACAGGATGTGAAAATTTCAGATAAATGTTCATGTTATATATTTTGGTTGCATTTGTGAGTTAATAAAAATGTAGATGGTTGTTTAAAATAGATATATAATATCATAATATCGATATATCGATATACTCCTGTATCGAATCGAATCGTAATCGTATCGTAGAATTTTTGGAGGTATCGGCAAATATCGTATCGCTGGGTATGAGAATCGATATTGTATCGTATCGTGACAAACCATCCGATTTACACCCCTAGTTAATTACTCCTGCTGTGGACTTCTGCTGAGTCCTTATCAACCACAGAAGTGATAAACTCCTGAGTCCTGGAGTGAAGAGAATATCACAACATGCTAAACAACTAGACATATCAAACGACTGGTCTGTTACTAGGTCATATGCCAACATTAGCCAAGACTGTGTTATTCTTGGTAGTTGGAGTCTAATGCGGTTTGTGTTCTTTAAGTTTGTGCATGAGTGAGAAGAGTCTTTAAAGTGTGTTTGTGTATCATAAAAGTGTGTGCATGACTGAGCAGGGTGTGTTGTATGTGTGACTGAGTGGAATCCTCAGTGAGAAGTTTGTGTTTTGGTTGCTGGACAAGGTCCAAATTGTGCTTTGAGGTTGTGTTGATCTCATTTTTTAATCATTGTTTTCCGTGACTGAGTGGAACAGGGAGTAACATTCCTGGCACTTGGAAATGGGGCTCCAGATGTGTTCAGTGCCATGGCTGCTTTTTCTCACCCTCAGACTGCTGGTCTTGCCATTGGAGCACTGTTTGGTGAGAGATCAGCTCTGTTAAACATACACCAAACTTCCTACTTCACATACATAAACATCAAGGATAGTGTTGTCACGGTACCAAAATTTCAGTATTCGGTACCGATACCAGTGAAAATCCACGGTTCTCGGTACCAATTTTGGTACCAAAGCAAAACACAAAAACATGCTAATTGAACAACATTTTTATTAATAACGTTAAACAAAAATTAAATGTACAAAACCAATGCCATTCTTTATACTTATTTAAAATTGTTTCAAGTTTTTCCACAAATAATAAAAGTATGAAAAAAGTAAACAAGTTTCACCCAAAAGTTCAGTCATAGTTCTGCTGCCACTGAAAAACATCTGTAAACTGTTGTCTGTTTTAGGGTTTGCTGGTGTTTCAGGATCTTCCTCAGTCTGCAGCTGTAAAAGGAAAATATAATATACTTAAGTAAAGCAATGGGCTGAGTCTGACCAAATGCAACATTAGATCATTGACACCAGCTAAAATATAACTTTTCAGGAAATAACAAACCTCAGCTTTTATAAGAAATTTAGATAAGATTACATATATTAAGTGTATATCAAATAGATGGAAACTGTAGTATTAAAAACACTTTA